CCCCCCCATAAGCAAGATAATTTTAGATAGTCTGTGAACAGTACTTTTGTAAGGGAACAAATCACTGGAAGATCGCATCCCACACGACAGAGACCACATACGCGCACTGTCTCAAAGGACGCTGGCGACCAACGAGCAATCCTCGAGACAAACTGAAAGGGGTCAGATCGACACAGAGCACGCAGGTAAGGGGCTACCGCAGGACACGTTAAATAGCAAAATTTACATGAATCCCGACACAGGTAGCAAAAGTATGTGAAAATGAGTCACTGGATGAAACGACCAGTACGAACCACAGAGCAAAAGCGTAACTGCGGCAGTGACAACGCCGTTCTCTGGCACAGGGTATTCCAAGATCACCGGCTCTCTCGGAGGGTGTTACTGTGCAAAATGGGAAAAATGTAAGAATTCTAATAAAACTGTGTACGTTCCAGGACGATCACAGTATGTAGCAAAAAAAGCCAACAATGAAAGTTTTAATTCTCTTCAAAATCTAGGACGCGATTACCCTCACGGCCCCGCCGTCGTCCATCACACGGCTTGGTCGGCCGTCATCCCGCGGGACCTCTGACATGAATCCCACCCTCACCGCCACCGGCTTCGCCAGGAACGAAGCAGTTGCCCTCTTCCGGCCACTGCTCTGTAAGTACGACCACTGCGTGCATTTGAAAAACCTAGACCAACGAACTTGCCCCTGGTTTTACAGTGATACCTCATTACTTGGGAGTGACAGGTAAGAGCATAATAAAAATAAACCTAACTCTAAAGGGGTGACGCCCAGATTTACTTCTGAGACTTTGTTTGGCTCGTGGCTTGCTGTCTTTGATAAAAACAGGAGCTTCTGGGAGAGCGTGACTTTTCTTTGCTGTGATGGTTTGGGTCTCGGCTCCATTTCTATAGGTGACCCGCCACCTCTCTCCCTTTGGAATTTGTGGGTGACGAGCCTTCGAGGGTCACCCCAGACCTGTCAGCTATGTATGACCGCCACAGGGGCTTTGTGTGTGCGGGCAAACTGGCAGATTTTGTTGCTGTTGTTAAAAAACTGTGTCTGTGTGCGGCAAAACAGACGTGTCCAGATGTAAACACTGTTGGGGTTAATCATAGATACCCCAGGCGCATATGGAACCACATGCTAACAGCATCTAAAACACCCTCTTTCAATTGAAAAAAAGGTTTTAAAAAATATTATACAATCGGGGCCCTGAGAAGACCCTTAGCCTGAAATTATTTCTCAGGAACGTACACTTATCTCGGTGAAGGGCAGCTGGATTAGTTAAGGATTTTAAAATGAGCATGTTCTTCCTACAACATTTCTGTTCAGATTGTCCCGAGGATTCTGAAGCTCTGGGATATTCACTAATAAATTCAGAAACTGCAGCTTATTTTAGGTGCTCGGGACTTCCTCGCCCTCAGGGCGTCTCTGCAGACATGTATTCGAGGGAAATACAGGGCCTGGTCCACGCCGCACCTCAGGACTTAAGGCAACTTGTCAATTTCCTCTCTGACGCCTACATCAAGTTGGTTCTCAACTGTCTATTGTGTTCCAGACACATGGAATCTAAAAAGACGTAACATTTTGTAAAAATTATCTTGATATGTGTAGAAAGTCAAGTGATACAGCCATTCAATAGGTTTATGTGAGAATAAGCTTATAGGGTGGATCTTATTGTATACGAGAAAAAATAGAGTTGTTATAGCAACTTAAAGGCAGTAAAATACAATTAAAAAAATACATGTACTTAAGTAGATGAGATGGAGCCAAAGTGACTAAATAGTGTAAGTGGCATGTACAGATCAAAAACCAGGCTGACGTAATTCAAGTCCTGCAGAAGTCTCAAGATGACACGGAACAGATGACATCCGGACGGCCCGACCTGACCGCTCTCCCCGCGTGGGTACGTCTTGGCCGGCAGCCTGTCCGTCCATCGTCTCGCTCACACCCGCGCTCGGCATGGATGTTTTGAGCACCTACTGTGTACCATGCCCTCGGCTAGTGAGCAGAGGCCAAAGCCATCGAGACTAAACTGTAACCACCGTCGGGGCCCCTCCGCATCCCACACAGGGCCACGCCGTGGGGGCCCTGGGGGGAAGGCCACAGGACAGAAGGACCGGCTTTCCTGTTCTCCCACAGGACTGCTTCCCGGAGAAGGAGCCGTGCGTCAAGTGGCCTCACACCCAAACACGAGGTGAGACGTGTGGTAAGGGCTATAAAGGGGAGCGAGCCCTCACCAGACTCCTGCATAGCTGTCACACAGGCTGGGGGCACTGCAGAGAGACCGGGGGCGGACCAGCAGGAAGGGTGGAGGGCAGGCGGGTGACCAGGGCACACAGAGCAGGCTTTATGGCTAGGCCGCTGTTTCCTGCGGTCACCATCCATCGTCTCACTCAGGTGCTCGGCACAGGCCCATATCCGATCGAGGTGCAGTCCAGCGCGTGCCCCTCGAGGTTCCAGCCACTTGCCCCCCATCAGTGAGGAGTTATTCAGCCAGCAGGGTCTCCCACAGGCCTATTTATTCACAATCACACGGGCACAGCTGCTCTTACAGACCATCAAACATCAGCAGCTGCATTTGAAGGCGTAAGAAACGCTGACACAGGATTTGGAATTGCTCCTGTTGGCCACTCTGCGCCTGGTCCGAGGGCACTTTTTTGGAAGAGGGGCGTCTCAGGATCTGCTTAGGGCTTAAGCAGAACCCAAACCTAGGACTCCCTGCCTCGGTCCCGTCTCTTCCCCCAGAGCAGGGCTCCTGAGCTTGGGAATCACCTGGAGGGCCTGTTAACACAGGGTCACTGGTCCCCACCCTGAGTCCCTGAGTCCTAGGTCTGGGGAGGTGCTTGAAAATCTGAGCTTTTAGCAAGTTCCCCAGTAATGCGGATGCTGCTAGTGGTCAGCCCACTGGACTGTTTCTGAAGCTGGTGCCCAGACCTCTTGCCCCGGCTGCGTGGGCCTCTGTTGAAAGTACAAATGGTTCAGTCTCATCTCCCAGCTCTTAATCTGTGGGTGGGGAGCCCGAGAATCTGTAGACAGTTTCTCCCAGGACATGATAGAGTCGGTGCCCAAGGAGGGAGGCCTGAGGGGCCCTGGCCTGGGAGGCAGGGACCAACCAGGCTGGCGTCCAGCAGCAGCGAGCTGAGCCCAGCCCCTCGGAGCGCGGGGCGGCCTGGCGCTGGCACCCGCCCCCCANNNNGCCCCCCACGAGTCGGCCCGCCCGCCTGCACAGCCCGTCTCCACGCGGGTCGCGCACTCACCTTGCAGGCGGTAGAGCTGGCCCGCGCTGTGCTGCCGGGTGATGTGCTGCCAGTAGGCGCTGCGGGGCAGGGGCACCATGGTGCTCAGCGAGGCCGCCCGCTCGCTCATCTTCATCTGCAGCTGCGCAAGGCAAGAACAGGGTGTCAGCGACGGGCCCAGGGGGACCCGACTGGGACTCAGCGCAGGGAGAGCGCCCAGCACTGGTGGGTCTGGGCCTGTGCAGGCGACTCAGGTCTCCATCTCGCAACAGCTGGTAAACCGCACACACACGGGCTACATGGCACTAGGAGCCAGAGGGAGGCAGGTTAACCAACTAAAAAGGAAGCATAGCCCGTGGCTCAGCGGTTGAGCGTCGACCTGGGATCCAGGTGATCAGGGTTCGATTCCCGGTCAGGGCACATGCCCAGTTGTGGGCTTGATCAATGGCTCTCTCATCATTGAGGTTTCTGTCTCTCTCTCCGTCTCCTTTCCTCTCTCTGAAATCAATAAAGATATATTTAAAAAATAATAATAGTAAAATAAAAATAAATAAAAATTAAAAGGAAGCATATACATATGTGTGCACATCACACTCCACAGAAATGCCATTTTATTTATTTACTTTTTAATTTATCTTTATTGTTGAAAGAATGACAGATGCCCCCTTTCTTCCCCCAC